GGTTGCAAGAACATTTTTCATGGAAGTGACCCATTGAATTTATTTGGTGATTAAACTGTTGCACTGATACAGATGCCTGCAAAATTAATTGCGTCTGTGAGTTTAAATTAATTTCTGAGCAGTTAGGATGAATGAAGCAAGTCCTTTTGCTTTGGAATCAAGAGTGAAGCTCCACTTGCTTCAGGATGGTCAAGACAGAGCCCTCTGCCTTTAAAGTTGGTAGCTGACTCATTTTCCAGACTAGCTGGTGTTGTACCAACCCTCTTGAATAGTCATTCATAAAGGCCTTATGGGCTCGCTTTTCAGGGAAAGCCTGTTTGCTTTAGTAACACCCTGTTAGCAGAACTTTTATGTTAACCTATGCTCAAAATCAGGATGACTTCCAGGAGACCACTGCAGTTATAGAATACCCCCAACTGTATTCTGTTGTCAAAGACAGAAAATATTTTCCCAGGCAGGGCAGACTCTGTAGAGTTGGGAGTCATGTCCATGTTTGCTTTATCCCTTTTGGAGTTTGGGAGATGGTGTCAGCAAAGAACAGGCCAAAGCATACAGCTCTGGTAATTTGTAAGTAGCTGTAGAGAAGTTTTATTGTGACCTTAATCTTAGATATGTTTTTATGCCAATAACTAAGTCCATACAGAATTTCCCATTTTTTAATGAGTATCTGATCTACTTCTCTCCAAGAAGTACAACAGAGATAATACTCCAAATGGGTAGACAGTGTGGGACAAGCCACATATGAACTAACTTTGAACACATGAGTTGCTTTGGCCATAAGTCTTACATTGCCCTGAATCCTCTTGAAGTGGGGGCAAGTAATTGCTTCCTGACAGCATTTGAGGAGTTATCAGTGTGTGTTCACTACACCTTCTGTGAACCTCATGATTTTCTTAGGAGGGTATATTGCTGCTGGGGCTTTCAGAATGCTGAGATTCTGGTCATACAGGACTTCACCACATCTGCAGTCAGTCCTCAGCAAGAGCTGTGCAAAAGCTAGACAGGAATAGGTTGTGTAATATGCTGTGTCCAGCCAAAGCTAATGGATGTGGCAGGGATTCTTTCTTTTCTTGAGGCTGTTGGATGCAAGTCGAATCCTATATTTCTTTGTAGACTAGAATTTATAAGAAACTCTGAACATAATCATGTTCCTGTTGAAAATCTGGTTTAAATCAAATAAAATTTTTCCACGCAAAAGGGTTGGGTTTTGGTTTTTTTCAGTAGGAGTATTCTAAGCAAAACTTTTTGTTCTGAACAGAGAAAGGAAATCTTTCATTTCATTGTACTGGGAATATGCTTGAGGAAAAGAGTCTTCATGTTCCTGGTATTTCAGCCTAGCTAAATATGGCCTGTGCTACTGAGGGCTTCCATGCCATGTCTTCTCCAGTCCTGCATTACATTAGGCAGCTGGGAGAGGACTGATGTGTAAATGATTGCCTATTAACTCAGCACCTTTGAATCCAGTTGATCCTGGTAGTGAACATTTGCGTGGACATGAAGAGGAACATTTGTGTCTCTCCATCTGGTTCATCCAGCTTCAGCTAGTGCAAGTCTGGTGTTTGTGGCCAAATAATTGAGGCTACCCTGCCAAATAGGAAAAAAAAGGAATATACCACAGTGAATATCAGTGCTGGTTCTGTTTAATGTCTGCCCTTTGTCTCATGAAATTTAGGAGTTCTGTGAAATACAAAGTTTTCTAGTAGTTGAGGCTTTCTTTGTAGGTGCAATGATTTGGTTCCTCTGCTTCCTCTTTACCATCCTTCTGGATACACTTTTTCCAAGTTACAAGTCATGCTATCACCTTCTGGGTGTGATACTCTGGAGGAGAATTTCAGTGATCTCCCATAAAGCTAATATATGTCTATGCTATTCGTATTCAAGAGTGGACAACCAGGAGCAAACTGTGCTCTCTACATGTGCATGCAACTCTCTAGGATACATAAATTGAGCAGCTGTGTGTAATTCTTGGAGAGCACCTCATAGGTAGGTAGCAGGGATTTGAGTTCAACATAAGCAGGTTAGAATCATAGAATAGTTAGGGTTGGAAAGGACCTTAAGATCATCAAGTTCCAAAATTCTTTTGAAGCACATAGTAAAGTTGATCTCTTGTTATGGGCATCTCAAATCCTTTCTTGAACTGTTGTCTAAGAGACCACAGTGCCTTTCTGCAGTATAATACTTTCTCTTAGATATTAATGATTTGTATATTGTTCAATTAAACATGTACTTTTTAGGTGTCAGTGAGTGGTGGCAAGGGTGGAATAAGCAGGTTAAATCCCAGAGAAATGTAAAGGCTTGGACTGTGTTTACAAAAAGTATTTTGAGGTTCTTCTTGTGACCATGACAATAAAAACCTGTTAGTGTTTTAGCTCAGATTTGATCTTCATATCAGAACCTTCCACTGATGGATCTGCCAGTTCATATGGAAGAGGTGTTCTTCCCAATTCGTGTTTTCTATATTGTATTTAAAAATTCAACCAGAAATCATCTATCCTTCTTCTGTAAGCACTTCGCATTTGTATACCTACACAAGTAGGATGAAAATGCCCACAACCTCATTGCCATTTCATACTAGAGTATGTTTAGTCCAGCCATATCCAGTGAGAGAGCTCCAATATGCTGGAATTTGGTGGATTGGCAAGGGCTGGTCTGTCCCTGTTTACTCTGTCTCAGTGGGCATATATATTTAATGTGGTGTTCCTCAGAGTGAGCTGTATGCAAGAATTGGCCCCTGTTTAAAACATGCTCTTTGGCAACCAGCAAGACTGCTCCAGTTTCTCTTTGGATAAGCATGGAGACAGAAGGAATTGCTTTGTGGTCTTCGAAAGTGGGGAGCTGTGACGTTTAGCTCTCATCCTTAGAGCGTTTTTTTCAGTGTGTGGCAATAGTTCATAGCATTGATCTAATTAGAAAAATACATGTTGAGCTGTGATGATATTTGTTGTGATTTGGTATTTACCGTATTTGGGAAAACTTGATGCATTATTGTTTCGCTCTTCATGTCCAACTTTTTCCTGAAGTGATGACTGAGCATTGGAATAGATTGCCTGGAGAGGTTGTGGAGTCTCCTTCCCTGGAGATACTGAAGAGGCATCTGGATGCAGTCCTGAGCAATGTGTTCCAGGTGACCCTGCTTGAGCAGGGAAGTTAAACTAGATGACCCTCAGTGGTCCCTTCAATCCTCAGCCATTCTGTGATTCTGTGATGTGATCTTTATTTCAAATATCCTGGCTATATTTTGGCTTTCAGTGAGAGGTTTGAGCTGATTTGGGGATTTTTTTGTTTATTTTTCCCCCAATATTTTCTTCAGGTTCTAATTAGATTCCTGTGTCTGGCTTTTAAATCCTTGGAAATTGGAATTTCTTGTATCAACACTATCATTGCTGCACTTACAGGTCATGTGCTTTTCTGTTTTCAAAGCAGACACTCAACTGTAATTGTCTGATCTATTCTTAACCTGTGTCAAAACTGTTTGAAGAGTAACCCTGAAATAATCCTCAGAGTATTTATAAGGATATAAATAGTTATCCCTATTTCTTTCCCCCACAAATCTGTAATGTTAATAAATTCTTTCATTGCAAAGAGCAAAAAGTACACCTTTTATAAACAGTAGGATTGCAAATGGACATCACCACACCTCTGGCTGTAAACCCCTGGTCATTCAAAAAGAGCAGTGAAACACGATGCATTTGAAATACACATTTTTATCCTGGATACGGAAAAGCACCTTCTGCTCAGGAAGCTGTGCATTGAGAACAGTGCCTTTTAACTGTCCCACCCTGTGAGAATCCAGTTTGATTTGAATATGCATGTTCATCCTAATGAAAATAATACATCTGTGAAAGCACACCTTGGCTGAAAATGGGTCTCAAATAAGCTGTCTCGTAAGACATCAAAGCAAATCCATCTCTGAAAGGGGTTTCTCTTTCCAAGAACAGTTATGGTGTTCTTTCCTTGAGATGCATCTGAGATGTCTTGCTCTCGATGGTACTGTAGCATGCTCAAGGCTGTAGGAAGCTAAAGTTTTCAGTGGTATTCAGCATTTTTAATGCCTTTTGGTTTATTGACTTCAGGCAGGATTTAATACTGATCTTCCGAGGTACTTCGTAGTGTTCATACAGAAAACAGTTTGTGTAATGCTAAATCCTCAGTAAGGTTATTAGGATTTTGAGGGTAATGAGAGGTTGGGAATTAAAAGGAAAACCCCATTCTATTTGTTCCGATAGACATTTTTACAGGTGCTCTTGTCTTTTGTTCGTATTCTGCTCCTGAAGTCTGCCCTGTATTGTCACAGTTAAGTTCAGCATCAGCTTATCAGGAATGCGACTTGATACTGCATTGAGTGGCTTCATGGCTAATGCTGCTTCAGTGTGTCACTGAACTGCCATCAGCTTCTGCTGAAATGCAAACCTCAGGGGACTGGTACTTGAATACATCCTGTGCAAGAGCTCTGTTAGCTGGATGTGAACTTGCTTATACGCATTCACCTGATAAAGGCATCTTGTACCTGCAGGCATTGAAGCAGTGCCATTTCACCTAATTATCAGTGTACCCATAATCTCCTGTAAATTGTAATGTAGCTTGAACATAAGTTAATAGCAAGTTTTCCTAAGGACACACCATGTGCGAAACATTGCTGCTTAGGCAGAGCCTGGAATAACCAGAATCTTTCTCTGAGCTGCTTGCTAAAGAGCTATTTGGCTCATGCTGTGCTGTCTTCTAGGCATATGCATGGCCTGTTATTTGACTGATTTATGCAATGAAGTGGCCAGACCAGGAGTTGTTTCAGCAGAGAAGAATCTTAAACATAAGGTCCTTTTAAGGTCTTCAGGACATACACTCCAAACAGAAACCAACTCTTTCTTTAGTGCTACCATTATGCTTGGAAATTCTGACAGTGAATGAAGAGGTGATTTTGCACAAACTTCTTTCTAGTCACAAGTTTAAAACCAAATTGTGTTCATTTGCCTCATTCTGTGCCTGTATTGTCTCTTTTCTAGGTCCCTCTGTACAGTAGTGTGCAAGTGGACGTATACCTCAGATAAAGGTTGGGATGACAGTTTCTGGAAAATGATTGGTTTGGAAGATTTGGTAGAGGATAAGTATGAAAAAATAGGTATGTTTTGTACCTATACCTGAAAAGTTATATATACATATATATAAAGATATATATATATTAAAAGATGCATATATATAAAAAGATCTTTTTCTGTGTTAGTGTGAATGTCAGGAGGAATGTAGCAGGACCTGATAAAGCTTCAGAGCGGTTGATAACAAGGCTGCATGCCGTAAGTGACAGCTTTCCTAAGTACACTTTATACCTTGCATTGTCATGAAAATCTGTTCCAGTTTTCTAACTTCTGCCCTTCTGAAAGGCCTAGCAAGCCTTTCAGTACTGCTCAGTCTCAACAGCAGAGAAGTAAACGGGAGCCTCAGCAACTGATTCCATGAAGGAAATACTTGATATGGGTGTAGTGAAAGGCAGGCTCCAAAAAAAAAGCCACAATGTAGTAATTTATAGCTGTTACTGACAGCAGGTTTTGCAACCTGTACCAATCGCCCTTACAGTAGTTTCAAGAGAAGTGCTACTTGTGCTTGTTATCTTCATACCCTTTTTTCCACTCTCTTGGAGCCTAAGTTTAATTAGAATGGTAGCCTTGCTAATAGTAATTCCTACAGCAGATATTCATTAAAAGTCCATAATGTTAATATACCAGAAAATTTCCAGGATAACTTTATTAGACTTTCCCTGTTAAGTTAATGGACTTTTAATGGATGTCCTAAGCAGACATGTCATTAACAAGAATATTGCCAGACATGAACTGAAATCTGCTCATTCATCAAAGTTAATTATCTAAAATTTCCTTTGATTTTTTTTTAATGTCTAGCACTTTGAACAAGTTTGTACAGCAGTTTAAATGCAGTAACATGAAATGGAAATGGCGGAGGGAGGACTGTAGTGAAATGAAATGCAATGAAATCTATTACCTTTTCTGATCATCACAAAATATACTGTAAGTCATTTTCAGATTATCAGAAAATTGTACTTGAAAGCTTCCTTGAATAGATTTCAGCTTTTCCCCTGCAACTGAAACTGCTTATGCAAAGGTATTAAACCCACAAGGAATATGAGGCTTTTAGCTTCCTGAGGTTTTAGTTGGAATACAGTTCTTACAGCATCTATCACATGTGGCTTTCAGCAAATCTTCAACAAGTTAAAATAAGACTTGCAATAAATACATGTTTTTACCAGAAAAATTGAACATCTCAGCAACTGGTGATCCAATGGAAGGGTATTTTAAAAATGAATTATTTATGAAGTGTAAGCTAAGGCTTTAATGTAATATTTATGCAATGCACTTCAAGGACAGTGCAAAGCAATTTGCCATTTCAAGTAACTAAACATACATGTTTGAAATGATAAAGTAGCCATTAATAAAAAGGGCTTTCTGTTGTGATGGAAGCCTCATAAAACTGATCTATATATGGTTCAACATTTAGCAAGACAAAACATTATTCATTTCCAATATCAGGCTTACATTTTTGTTACAACACGAGGTTTACAAAATAAATCAGTAAATTAACTTCTGATGATAGGTTGGCTATAAAGAAGTTTGTTACTGTGAGGGTGATGAGGCACTGGCACAGATTGCTCAAAGAAGTGGTAAATGCTCCATCCCTGGCAGTGTTCAAGGCCAGGTTGGAGAGAGCCTTGGGTAACATGGTCTAGAGAGTGAGGCATCCCTGCCCACGGCAAGGGGTTGGAACTGGATGATCTTAAGGTCCTTTCCAACCCAAACCATTCTATGATTCTATGATAGGGGCTTCTTGCAAGACAAAACTGTTTTCCTCAGTTAATGGGGAGAGTGTCCAGCTCCCTGGGCAATTGTGTTAGTTTTCAAGAAACAAACCATAGAATATCTGGGTGCGTCTCAGCTGGTGTTGAAGAAGCAGAATCTGACCTCTGGAATTGCACCAAGCTGTGGGCTGCAACTTAAAGCTTCTGAAAAGCACAAACTTTTCCTCACCTTGGGAAATCCTTCGATTTTCGGATTCTTGGGCTGATTACCTTAGGTGTATCCAAAGTATAAGACACTGAAACCTGGCCTTTGTAGAATATATGCTTATTTTCATGCCCATTTGTCTGACCTTGCCTTTTTTAAGAAGGAAGGTGTTACATTCATTACATGTAGCTGAGGGATGAAATCATAAAAAAGCAGAACAGTGACCTTCATTCATGTGTGTATGAAGAGGGGGGGTAAGGAGCTCCTCTAGGAATGTAGAAACCAGATAGCAACTACTCCTTCATTCCTTTATCTTCCACACTGCGCCTGTTGGAGTCTCTTGGAAGGGTTTACCTTCAGAAGGAGACAAGATGTAACCAAACCAAAGCAACTCGCTCTCCACCCAAGAGCTGCTCAACAGTGCTGAAGTCTGTGTTGAGAGCTGTCATTGCTTTGCTTTCTGCCACCATTGATCTTATCAGTGTCCCTTTACATGGGAAAATGGGAATGGTGACATTGTTCCAATGAAAATTTGGGGGGTTTGCTGGTTTTAATGAGTAGTGTTGCTGGACTTGGGAAAAGCACCCTGAATAAGCTCGGCTTTCCTTTAATGACTTTAAATTGACCAGGACAACGTAGATCCACCTACTGAAAAAGTGCCATTCCATGCTCAAGCAGCACTGGTCAAACTGTAGTCTTCTACAGTGGAAGGCTGTTTCCTACCAACTCCCAAGGCATCCGCATTGGTGGCGAGGCACCATCACTGCATAAACCTCCTGCCAGGAGCCCACAAGTGCTATACTGAGCCCAAAGAACACAGGATCACACCTTGCAAAACTCAGCTCAAGTTGTATTTATAATATTGCTTCAGGGCACTGTCCCATAAGTGAACGGCCTCAGTGGCTGTTAACTTCATCACATTATACAAAAGAAAGGCAATTTGTTTAAGTAATTCATCTGGACAAACAGTTACGAGTGTGTGCTTCCAGGAGGCACATCACAGTGTGCTACAGCTGACAGAAAAGAATTTGAAGCAGTAGATTTAGCAGGCTTGCAGATTAAGGAACTCGAACCTGCCAGATAACCTAGGTAGGAGTAGGTTGAAGGGAGATTGTGCATGGTCAAAAACTCCTCCTAAAATGAAAACAAAACCAAAAACTAAAAAGTCTGAAGTAATTCTAGTGGAATTTCCTTTTCAGTTCTCAAGCTTGTCCAAGTCAGTGGATGTCTGCTTAAGGTTCATTTAGCTCAAATACGAGGATGTATTTTAGTGCCTGCATGACCCCCTTACAAAGAGCGATAATGGTATTTTTCTCACATATCTCTCCTAAAAGATTAGCAGGCTCTCAATCATAATTTCTTTCTAAACAAAGCAAAATGTCCCAAGATAAAATTGGCAACATTTTCTTACTGTACAAAAGTAAATACATGGTTGACCAGTTTAAAATAGGCAGAAAGGTTACATGGTTTTGCCTTTGTTTTATTAGATCTCTTTTAAAAAGTAATTTCCAATCAGAAATAACTATAGATGAATAGGTAGTTTTTTATAAGTAGCTTTACCTTTCATTACATTGAAAATATTTATGGAGATTACTTAAGAACAACTTCTCTAATGTGCATAGTTCTTTATTCTGATAACATCTCTTTTAAACATCACTTTTAAAATGGCTTGCCCTTTGAGGATATATTTACTGTAATCACAGTGGTGCTTGTGGTTCCAGGTAGTGCGCTTCTCCTAGTTTCAGTTTAACTTAACACATGACCTTGTTGATAAGGGGGACCCTCACGCCTGACCTTTAGGATCTTCCACAGACTTTTCCCACATCAAGATGTGGGTTCACATATGAGAGTTCCCAGGCCTTTGACATTTTACATTTTTCAGAGCAGATTAACCTTTCAGGGAATCCATGTCATAAGTTGTTTGTGGTCCTTTCTGTACCTCATGGATTTACTACTCATGTCTGTGAAGGTAAAGAGTCTTATCTGGAGATACTACAAAATTTATTGATCCCATTAATTTGCCCACCAAGAGAGTAGAAGATGTCTTGTATTCAAAACCACTCTGAAAGTGTAGTATACTACAGGCATTAGCATTTATCTGCTGTGGCGATAGCACATGATGAGCATCTCTTTGTGGTATTATAAAACCTAGAAAGACATTAACAATCCCTTTAAAATTTCATGTACTCCAGACCTTTTAGGGTACTGAAGCATATATTCCATTTGGAGGAAAATGCCTGATAAATTTTCACCACAGCTCTCTACTTCAGGGGCTACTTTAGGGACCAAGTAATGATTTTTTATTGAATGGTAGTATTTTATACCAGGTCTCTTCTTGGTTGAAGATGGGTCTTTGTCTGAGAGAGCATTGCAGGTACTGCAGAATAGGTCTTACTGATCTTGTAGGTTGTGTATTGAAGGCTAAAATACACCTTTTGTGAAAGGCAGTTTTGTCACTTTCTTCCAGCTGTGATGGAGCAGTGCACTGATTTTAAGGATTTTTTTTTAAAAGCAGATCTCATATTTGGAAATACAGCCCTTCAACATGATAAAGATTTCATAAACCCATTTCCCAGCTTTTTCTGACTAGGAATTTAGAGCCAGATTCTCAGAAATGAATAAATACACAGCTCATATTTATGGGATCTTTATGAACATCTGAGGCTAAACTAAGAAAAGTATTTGGATTGTTTAAATCTCAGAAATTTTATGGAAAATCAGTGCTTGCCTTGAACGTGGAGTACTTGAAAATAACTCTTGCATGGACAGATTGTGATTTCAGCAGATAGGATAGTTCTTGTCTATAGCTCTTCTCTTAATTCCAGAACTTTGGGGACTGGAAGCTTGTTGTTTCAATGTACCTGGGCATTTGTGTATGCCATTTTGAATGCCCTGAAAAGAAGGGCCAGTAGAATTGTAAAACTGGATGTTCTTTTCTAATGCTCTTGCATTCTTAGTACTTATTCATAAATTGGTAGCGAAGAAAACTGTAGTTGATTTGGGACTTGACAGCTGTGACTCTTGACTGGTACCTGCTGTCATCCTTACTGTGCACAACCCTTGCAGCAGACTGGGTTTTCAAATGCAGGTGCAGCTCTGTGATCCTTTAGGC